TATATATATATATATAAACTCTTTATCTGTCAGTTAAAGGCCACTTTAGCAAGACAGTCTTGATTGCATTGTGAAGAAATCTCATATCTTTATTTCCTTCTTCCTGGTGTATAATATTTATCTGTGGTTGTCTATCTTTCCATATGTCAGTGTACTTGTATGTCTTAATCTATAATATAATTAATATAATTGCATGTTTTAAAAGTTTCCAGAAATCCTGTGACCATATAAATCTTGTAGGAGCCATGCTCACAAGTGCAAAGTAGTTTCTATGGCACATTAAGTAAAGCATAAAAATATATGTAGTATTATTGAATGTTATAAAAAAAATATATTTATTTATTACACTTGAAAAATTGGAATGAAATAAAGAAATTTTATTATATATGCAAGAAACCTAAATAAAATATGCAAAAAAAATGTACTTGCATTAAAAATAAATAATTCAATAATATTGTAAGCAGCTCTTAAGATTTCAGAAGGTGAATAATGTTCTCTTTTTAACAAGATCGAAAACTCTGGAGATTTTCATTTTATAGTCACCATGTGTTTTATTTAACAAATGTAAAAGAACTTGTGTAAGTCATGTTGTTTTTTATTATTTACCATTCAAAGACTTTCCAGAAATAGATTTTAAATTCTGTTGAAATTGTAATTTAGCATGTATGTTTGGTTATCAGAATTTGGAATCAAACCATATCTGAGCTATAGAGAAGATTCATTAATCTTGACATATTTGATGTTTTACAGTGCACAACATCAAAATACTACTAAAACTCTGAGATTGTTTGTTTGCTTGTCTGTAATTAAATACAGCAAAAACGGTGCACAACAGCACCATATTTGTAATGAAATGAGAATAGAAAGAGAATAAAACAAGTTTCATTAAAATTGGACCATGGGTTACCGAATTAGCCCCATTTTTTGGGTCACTAATTAAATACAGCAAAAACGGTGCACAATAGCACCATATTTGTAATGAAATGATAATAGAAACAGAATAAAACAAGTTTTGTTAAAATTGGGCCATGGGTTACCGAGTTAGCTCCATTTTTCGGGTCAGTTTCATGAAAACTTCTAGATAAATTTAGGTACAGTAGATGGCGCCACATATCGGTTTATCTATCTATCTATTCGTTTTCCACCTGATGAATCACTAAAATATCTTCTATACAACAATATATGCACAACAGAAATTAAATGATGAGATGAAAATGTGTTATAATGGCACATAGAAAGAACAACAATAAAATGGACCTGCAATATTATTGATTATTTGCAAATAGTAACTATGAAGACGAGGTAATAAAATAAAAACCAAGTCGAGAACAACATCAAAATTTCGTAAACAAAAACCTCTCGCCGAGCAGGCCCGGCATGGCCAGGTGGTTAGGGC